TGTCATCGGGCCTAGTGGTATTTTCTAGAGCCAATTTTGCAAGAAGCTGGCATGCCGCATCCTCAAAACACTATCTTCACATTCTCCGCGAATGTTTTGTCTTCAGCTTCAGCTCTTATTGAGCAGCTAATCCTCATATCTGAGGGTTGCCCGACTATCCGCAAACTGTAGACGCGCTCGGCGGTATCTAACCTTGCCTTTACCCTTCTATTGGACCGCGCAAAACTGAATGACTGATGATCGGAAATATAGAAAGACGCGCATACTTACGCGTAGGCACGCACGCTTATGAACCTGTCAGTTATTCAATCCTGATTCAACTGGTCCATACGAACAAGATGAAGATGTAGAGCAATATCACCGAAAAATATCATTTTCAACATAAAGCAGGAAAATTATTATAACAAAAGAAACGATGGACGCACTTGATAGCCGAAATGTGACAAAACGGTCATATCGAAAAAAGAACGAAAAAGACACTTAAGATAGACAACAAGATTTCGGTTATTCCTCAGGTCAGCAGCTGGCTCTAATCAAGTCAAAAAATGTACGCCTAAAACTTGTATCCATACATCACGAATGGCTATTCTGCTAAGAAATTTCTCAAGTCCGAAATTGATCTACCCTGTTAGGTGATAAAGCTTAAAGACGAAGAGAGTTCATTTCAAACAGTTCCATATTAGTCATACCTTTTATGCACAGGAAGCAAAATACATGACCACACGGAAGAGAAACTGGAAACCGAAAGTCCTGCCAACATATAGGGCATTTCTCGCTGCTGCTGGTATCTGCTTCGCATACCGCCTCTTCGTCCATGGCAGTAATCGTCCAAAATTGTTACGGTACAAATTGGCTTCTCAAGTTTAGTACAACATTAAACAATCGTTAATTACTCATTGCTCTCAACTGCGGGAAAATTACATTCGCAATTACATACATCTATTTGTTATAGGATTCGAACATTTGCTGCTTATAGATTTTCAAATTTAAATTTGCAGCTTCTACTTTACATTAAATCTTATTCTGTTATCAAGTCGACTAAGGCCACAGCGAATGTTGGCTGTAGATGCATGCGTCATACAGCATAGCTGACAGTCTTGCACTCTCTAGCATGAAATAATCAGCGCACCATTCCATCCTTAACATTTGCAGTTTCAGAAAAAATATGATTTCATTAACGTGACAATTTAGCAAATTATTTTCCATCAGTAACAGATAACAGTAATTAGCAGAAGTGGCCATTAGTTGATAACGTGAAGTAAAGTAAATTCGATCAGTAATCAGTAGCATACTTCCTTGATGAATTGAAGTAGTCATAAAAAATACTAATTGAATCATATGACCGATTTGTTTTACTTGTGATTAAAGGCAAAAGTTTTTACCAACTTGCTTTTGAAACATGACTGGAAAGAATTTTAACAGAGAAAGTACTCCTTTAAAGTAATTCTGCGAAAACTCCAAACACTGGTTTTAGAAAAAAGTTTCTAAATTTTAGCTATGACTAATAATACAAATGACTGACTAATTATTATGATTAATAATGGAAGTTAGCCATCTTTTATGAAACGACCATTCGTATTTTTCTACAAATTAATAATACAGTCTGACGCAGCCTGCGATCGCCATTATATCAGACAAAGTTGTCTTTTTAAAGTGTAACCGTGCCATATGGTTTCTATCAAACTTCATAATTAACTCTCTAAGAGAAAGGTCAGTCAGGTGTACAACTGGAAAGCAACCGTTTCTATTTCATACTCTCAGGTGATCCGATTGCAATGATATTGGAGTGAATTTTCGTACGGTTGATGTCTTTTGTCTGGTAGGCAAATTTAAATAACCTTGGAGGGTAGAAAATTCTAGCGCAATTTTCCTGTTTATGACATCATCACGTTACCGTCATCCGAAATGAATGCATCTTAATTGATTCATCTGGGTATCGATCATATTTGTCCTTAGGAGACCTAGCATTAAGCCTTCTTTCGCAACAATTTTTTAACACACTGCCTTAGTTAACCAGCGTTAACTTTCCCCACTATCACTACTAAGGACAATGATGAACCATCCGCATTATCCAGACCACTGAAATAATTTGCGGCATACCTTAAGCGTTATCTCTGTTTCACCTATGACCAGGCGTGTTAAGCGCTTCCTAGTAGTGGCGCTCTGGCACATTTCACAGAATGTGATATGGGACTACGATGAAGAGCTAACGCAAAATCATCAAACGCTATTTGATCTCGAACTTATGCAAAATCTTTTTCTCGACTTTTGCAACTCTTATTAACTTTGTCAAGACTGTCCTGTTTTGAAATCGTGACGTCGCCGCGTACCATGTGGTACACTGCTGGGTAGTGAACGAGATTTGCATCGCCTGAAAGCCATAAGTTGGCGCTCCATGGATGCTAGAGATGTTCCGTAATTCGACCTAAAAAGACACGGCTAGTTCCCGCATACTTGGGTTCGGAACCCTACATAGTTAAGTTGAAGATTTCATTCAACGAGCACAGCACGATAAGAAATTTCAACGTATTTCGTACAGCAGTACACACTTTTTGGCAAATCATCTACTGACGCTTAAACAGTTGTGCAACTGAACTATACTATTCAACTCAGTAACTTCATTGTTCAGTTCATTGTTATTCATTCTATCCTCTTTCGTATGTTGTACAATTTGCGCATCTAATTAATATGTCCTTGCACGGGTACATATAAGGGTTTTGATAAAAGAAACGACGCTCTAGAAACATGGTTGGTGCACGAGTCAGCTTGTATAATGTGTTGAGCATATGACTGCCTCTCTAATTTCGATTCTTTGCTTTATCTTGGTGACATCGGTTCTAATTTATGATGCGGTTCGGATAGCCCATTGAATAGCATCTTCAGCACATGCAATAGGTGCTATCGTACGTTTAAAGGGTTGACGTTGGGAATTAAAATTTTGAGGAGTACGAAGTTTGCCAAAATGGCAATTTAAGTACCTCTGGGCGACTTCGAGAGCGATGATGGGCTGGACATAGGAGCATGCTTATCGATTGGTCAAGCAAACGCAACAGTACCAATCTAAAACCACTGTATTGCAAAAAATATTATGATTAGTTATACGATCACTTCCAGTCAAGTCTGTCCAAAGGTCTATTCTCACCTACGGTCACGAATGACAATCAGAAACGACGTCCATTTGAATTATTACGGATGACGAATTTTGGAAAGATGCAGATTCAGCAGACAGTTATACGCATGAATTTGTCGATAAAGATAAATACTGCGCTGGTTCTTCGCCTGTTTGTCACACTATCTCAAGCAGTCATATTGGATGCTTGAAAGGCAGGCCTTCTGATTTCGGTAGGCGATGAATAAGTTTACTCATTACCAGGTAAGCGTTCCGCACTGAACATCTGGTATAATGGAGTTCGAATGAGAGACGTTTACTGCTCTAAGGAGGATGGTGACAACTGGAAAAGCGTTTCTCAGCTTCAGACATCGGGAAAAAAATAAAACAACAAAATAGAAAGCTTTAAAGGTAAAATACGGAAGAAAAGAGTGGCGCGCGATAAAATCTCATTTAGATGTTGGGCGTTACAAATCAAGCGCGCGATGCTGAAGACCTGTTCAAAATGCTGATTCCATTCTGAGTCAATTTCCTGATCTGAGTATTGCTTAAAATTATGTGTAACTGTGGAATATTCTTCGATGACGCCACATTACACTTGAGCGTGCTTTTTCTTTCCATTATTGTAATCATAGCGGAACAGTTGTGAAAATTCTGCACTCTCTTAGAGTGTTAGCCTGTGCATCGCACAAGCAAATCTTCTTCGAGCCACGTCGGTTGCCAAACAATTATTGAAATTGTGTTCATTTTGTTATCTTCGTCTGTTACTCTTTTGGAAAAAATGCAGTCCGCTTAAGATTCATGATATTGCTTCATTTTCTCAGTTCGCGTTTTGATATTAGAAGGTATTGACAGTGTCGGCGAAGGAAAAATTCGACATCAGCGATTTACCGAATGGCACAAATTAGCGGTAAAGTGACGTGAGGTGCATCAATAAGGAGGAGTGAAGATAGACACTACGATTTAATTCTCTTCTACGTTCACTGCTCAACACGATAGTCAACAAAATTCACAGTGAACAGCCAGAACCACAGCTGGGCTTGTTGACACTGATAGCCGACGAACGTCCGTATGCATCCACGCCGGAGTCACTGACCTTGCTGTGCGATTTTGCCTTCAAGTCATTCAGCCTCGAACGCGCGTTCTCGGCCACCAGCAGCTGCGACTTGTCCGAGTGCAGCGCCGTGTTTTGGAACTTACCGCCGACGCCCACGCGCGTGCGACCGTACGAGTGACCGCCTGCCACGTCGTCGTGGTAGAACTGACCACCACCCAGCTGAGCGGTGTTTTTGCGGAAGCTACCTGATGAGTGCACGTCGTCGATGT